GGTATGTATGTATGTACGTACGTACGTGCGTGTGATTGTGCGTTATGCATGTATGATTGTGTGTATGCACGAATACATGTATGGATGTACGTAGGTATGTACGCATGCATGCATGCATGTATGCGTGCACACATGCATATATGTGTGCATGTATGCATGTGTGTATGCACGCATGAATGCATGCATGCATGTATGTCTGTATGGATGTATGTGTGTATGTGTATATACATGCATGTATGTGTGTATATGCATGCATGTGTGTGTGTATGAATGTATGCATGCATCTATGTGCATGCATGCATGTATGCATGTATGGACATATGCATATATGTGCATGTCTTAATGTATGCATGCATGCACACATGCATGTATGTGTGTATATATAGAAAGAGATGCGTGTGTATGTGTGTATACATGTGTATATCTATGTATATATGCATATGTTCTAGAACCACGCGCGCCCTTCGCGCGCGCTTAGGTTCTAGAAGCCCCAGTCATGGACAAGCTCACTGCTGCGCGCATGCATGTACCCACGAAGAACGTATACATGGTTTGAATAAGGAGCAAGAGCGCGGATCACGCGCCCGGCTAGCTTCTAGGAAGCTCTGTGGTCATAGTCTACAGCTCGGATCGTGCCCCTCAGGGAGCTCCACCGACAGCTTTAGAGACAGGCCTGGCGTAGCGTCCCCCCCACCCATGTCGGCAGACCCTTCACAGGAATCGCGCCCCACAGGAAGCCCCACCTAAGTCCCCAGAGACAACATTTGCATAGTGGCACACCCCTCACACGGATCGTGCCACGCAACTAATTGAACTTCAGCACCTGAGGAAAGCTTCATAACGTTGCCTCGCTAATCTCGGACCTCTCACACAGATCGTGGCTCGCAGGGAACCCCACGGACGGCCCCACAGACAATGTTCGCATCCCGCCCCCTCGCCTACTTCGTCACACCTCTCACCTGGATCGTGGCTCACAGGGATCTCCACCTACTGCCCCAAAGGCAGGGTTCGTATTGCGCCCCCCACCGCCCATTCCGGCATACCCCATCACGCGGATCGTGCCCACAGGGAACACCACGTACAGGCCTAGAGACAAGGTGTACAACGCCCTCCCGCCCTCATCGGCACATCCGTGAAGCAAAGCAGGCCCAGAAGGGGCTCCACCTGCGGAGCCAATGGGCCACTTCGCGCCCCCCCGCCCATTTCGGAACATGCCCCGCACGGGTAGGTGTCCAGAGGAGCTCCACCTGCGGCCTCAATGGGCGTGTTCGCGCGGGGGCATCCGAATTGTTCGGCACACCCTTCACGCGCGCCGTGCCCCACAAATAGGTCAGCGCACCTGTGCACCCGTGATCCGCAGCAGCCCGCTTTTCGCATGGCCCCGCGGCCCGCGCCCTGCGCCACACCTGGCTGCATAGGGATGGGCCCGTCACCACACACGCCTCTTGCTTGCTTATCTTATGGCCTTCGGCCAATACCGCTGCCTGCACGGTTTCCCTCGGGGCCATCGGCGACCCGAGGAGGAGGAGGAGGAGGAGGAGGAGGAGGAGGAGGAGGAGGAGGAGGGGGAGGAGGAGGAGGAGGAGGAAGAGGAGGAGGAAGAGGAGGAGGAGGAGGAGGAGGAGGAGGAGGAGGAGGGGGAGGGGGAGGAGGAGGAGCGAGGAGGAGGAGGAGGAGGAGGAGGAGGAGGGGAGGAGGAGTGAGGAGGGGGAGGGGAGGGGGAGGGGGAGGAAGAGATGGAGTAGGGGAGGAGGAGAGGAGGAGGAGGAGGGGAGGAGGAGGAGAGGAGGAGGAGAGATGAGGAGGAGGGGAGAGAGGAGGAGGAGGAGGAGGAGGAGGAGGAGGAGGAGGAGGAGGAGGAGGAGAGGAGAGGAGGGAGGAGAAGGAGCAAGAGGAGGAGGAGGAGGAGGAGGAGATCGGTTCGCCCCAGCCCTTCGGAGAAACCCTCCACGGCCAATACCGCTACCATGCCTGAGTTTTGGGCCAAAGGCTTGTTGGATACCAGCAATTCCGGGCCTCTTGGCCTGCTTCTCGGGCGCCTCGCGGAGCAAATTCTAAAACCTCTTGAAGCTTCTTGCGGGCCGTCTGGGAGCCTCCCGGGGCCTTTCGGGGGGGCCCTCTGGGGCCCTTTCAGGAGCCTGCTGGCGGCCTCAGGGCCCGCTTGACGCAGAGGGCTCGAAATGTCGGCTGGAGCTTCCCCTCTTGAACCCCTCTGTGTGGCCCTCGTGGACCGTCTTGGCTCGGGCGCTTGGGGGCCATTTTGGAGATCAGTGGGGCCGTCATGGGGGGCATCGTAGGGGTCTCTTGGTCCGTCTTGCGGCGATATTGGAGAATCTGGGGTCGTCTTGGAGCGTCGAGGAAAGCCGAGGGCGCTCAAGTCATTGGAGAACCTAAAGCACGTCAGCGATTTTGGCCTCCTGGAGGTCCTCTTGGAACACTCTTGGGGCGTCTTGGGGGCCTCTTGAGCCGCCTGGAAGGCTTCGTAGGCCGTCCTGGGGCGTCTTCGAGGCCTCCTGGACTATCTGGACGCCGTCCTTGGCGCTCTCGGAGTGTTTTCCGCCACCGTGCCTCTGGGCACGGAGCGGGCGCGTCCTCAGGTCCTTTGCCTAATCCCTGGAGCCTCAGTCCTCAGTCCTGAAAAGTCTTGAGGGGGGCCGGGCCCAAAATTCCAAACTTCCTTGGGGGGCCCCCGTGTCCCTTGGGCTCCGGGAATTGTCGCCACATGATTTGTTCGGGCCCGAAAGGGCCCGAAGACGGGCCAAGAGAGCCCCACGAGGCCCCTAAGACGGTCCAAGAGGGCCCCGAGTCGCCGAAATCCGCCGGCCCCCTTGTGGGGCCACCAGGCTGCGAGGCCCGTGATTCGCAATTTCCTGTACCAGTTGTAGTTTCTAGTTTCCAGTGTTACAGTTCTGCTTCTTGCTGGTTACTGTAACTAGTTGACTTCTTGCTGGTTACTGTAACTAGTTGATTGACCGCGCGAGGGGGGGGGAGGCCCAAACAAGACTTTTAGCGTCTCCTGGGCGCGTTGTCTGAATTGCTGGGGGGGCTCGAATCACGCAGATCCGCGGGGTCAGGGTCCAAAAACACAGGGGATTTGCCACATTTCTGAAATTCGGTGCCACCCCTCACGCAGATCCGCGGGGTCAGGGTCCAAAAACACAGAGATTTGCCACATTTCTGAAATTCGGTGCCACCCCTCACGCAGATCCGCGGGGTCAGGGTCCAAAAACACAGGGGATTTGCCACATTTCTGAAATTCGGTGCCACCCATTCGCGCACATCCATCGCAAGGCGTGGTAACCCAAACTGCGAGAACTCCCTCGGCCCTTTAATCGCAAGGTGTGGTAACCAAGCCCGTAAACCATACACGTCTTACCAATCGCCAGGTGTGGTAACCCCTCTTGTGATCAGTTGGTTTTGCTGATTGCGAATCGGCTTCGCATGAAGTTTCGATACTGCTTCACGACAGCGCCAAGGCCTCATGACTTAGCTCTTCCATGGCCCATTCTCCGAGAGAGGGGGCCGGCGGCAGGGGGCGAAGCCCTTACGGATATCCTTCCAAGACGCCCAGATGGCCTCAAGTTGGCCCAAGAGGCCTCCAACACGCCCCAAAAGGCCTCCAAGAGGCCTCCCGTTCAATTTTCGAGCGCCCCAAGGCGCCCAAAACCATGCCAACACTACCACCACAGGCCTCCCAGAGGGCCCCAAAACGGCCTAAGAGCGCCTTTGGACGACAAGAGGCGCCCAAAACGGCCCAAGAGGGCCTCAAGACGACTGTACAAGAGGAACACGAACCGAAAATCGAAGCGCCGCCCGAAGGTCCCCAGGAGGCCCCAAGACGCGCCCAGGAGGCTGCTAGAGGCACCCAAAAGGCCCCCAAGAGGCGCCCAGGAGGCCACAAGAGGCCCCAAAGAGGCCCC